TGCTACTGTCACCTAATCTAGCAGTGAATATTATTAAATTTGGATATTTCAAATATACTAGAGATAAACAAACCATGCATTAGTAGCCAGCCTAAAGCAGGGATAGAAAACTATAGAGAGAGCTTTGACTGAAAATCAAACCATGCAAGATCATGTGAACTGGGCCACCATAACATCTGGAGCATAATAAATGTTCAGCAAACATCTGCTTTATTACTTTTAAAAGACACAAAGCTAGGAAATATTGTTTTCATTCACCTATTAATCAGACAGACCATGAAAGCAAACGAGATAAAATACCCTGTGGAGTAAGGCACAGAGATCTCATGATGGCCCATATCAGAGTACAGATAACACACAGATTTGCTCTATTATTACAGTGAGGTATCAACTTGCTACAGTAATTAAAAAAAAAGATTTCACAAGAAAATCTACCTTTGTTTAAAGAAAAAAATCATCTACTTGACGACACAGAGGCTGTCATGGTGGTGATGGACTGAAACTGAGTGGAAGCTACCCCACTTTAACAGAATACAGGCTTTCCAGTTGCCCAGAGTTTCCACTTATTGTGTACTCCAGACAAATTCACTCATTTTTGTAGTCTGTCATGTTCCTAAGAGTCTGAGTTCTAGTCCTTGCTGTAAGCACATATGTATCAGTTGTAAGCACACATGTGCAATTTGGGCTCCTTACCTTTCTGAACCTCAGCTTTCTCAAAAGTAAGAATTGGTTCAAAATGATCTCTGAAAGCTCTGTGATTAGAACTTATAAGACACAAAGTGGTATCAGCAATATTTCATACTTTATTCCTTGGTCTTATTTCTCAAAATATTAATTTTATTTTGAGGCAAATAAACTACCTACTAAATGTAGGATAGTAAAAAAAAAATAAAATAAGTTCAGGCCCTCCGACACAATATCTGAATCCATTCATGGGCCTGACTAATTTCCTTGTAATTAAAAGCTAGAAGGCTGTCTCAGATAGATAGGATCATCCATGTTCATTCATTCCTATTATGGAAATTCTCAAATTCCTCTCTAGGATGATTACCCTGCCTATGACTAAATAAAGAGTGCACAGCACAGAGCCCCAGGGTACGGGAGTTTTCAGAGTATAGACATAGGAATGATGACAATATAAACATGGAAGTAGTAGCAAATGCCTGTAATCCTACCCACTTAGAAGGCTGAGACATTATGATTGCAAGTTTGAGGCCAGACTAGGCAAATATATTGAGACCCTATCCCAAACAACTTAAAAGCAGCAAGAAGATCCTGTCTGGACTAGTAAAAAACTCCCAGTTGTAGAGATCACAGTTAACTGGCTGAGTAAGCCTTGACTGTGGAGGAAGTCAGAGTCTATGAATCACTTTTGAGAGACATGTTCCACGACTAGGACAGTAAATCTGTCTGGCACTTAAAACTGTTTGTACACTTAAAACTATGAGCTTAGAGGACTAGTTTCATCATAAATCCATTACTTAATTCATCCTAATCAAGGCCTCTCAAAGTTGAACAGAAGAAATGATTATCAATCCTGATTTACAGCTGTAGAAGCTTTCTGTCCAGAAAGCTAAATACCACACATTGATCAAAGTACTCAACGAGTGACTTCAGCAAGTATTTATTGTGCTTTTACTACATCCTGGGACTTGGAGAAAAGACAATGATGGGTTAGCTATGCTCTTAGTCCCTAAGGAATAAACAAAAATGTCAGACATAAATCTATTTCCTAACCCACAGGGTTAGATGTCTCTGATATCTATAAGGGGGATAAAAGTAGACTGAAGACTGATTCAAGGCCAGAGTTAATAACTTTCACATCCTCTTCATCCAAAAAAAAAAAAAAAATTTACTGTAACCCAAAAGCAATGTAGTTTATCAAAGAAACTATAATGTCTATAAACTCTCACTAGGATAAAAGCCATAAAAATAACTTAGTCAAATCTGAACAAAGAAAATCAAAAGATACTCAATGTTTTTTGTTTTTTGGGTTTTTTGTTTTGTTTTTTGTTTTTGTTTTTTCGAGACAGAGTTTCTCTGTGGCTTTGGAGGCTGTCCTGGAACTAGCTCATGTAGACCAGGCTGGTCTTGAACTCACAGAGATCCCCCTGCCTCTGCCTCCTGAGTGCTGGGACTAAAAAGGCGTGTGCCACCACTGCCCTCGCTCAATGTTTTTTTATCATTATATATTAATCTACAAGGCAAAACCCACTTTACATGGCTCTGCTTCTGACAATACCTACCCAAGTGCCTCTGGGCATGCTGGGTATTTACAATCTCTAGATTAGTTTCTCAACCAGGGAACACATTCCTCTTTTAAGGGGCGTTTGGCCATGTTTGACTTTTTTTTTTTGTCTTTCAGGAGGACAAATGAGGATGACATTATTGGCATCTAGTGAGGAGAGGCCCCCTGCTGTTACCCATCTCACAACACACAGAACAACCAACCTATCACAGAAGAGACTCATCAGGCCAAAATACTAAGTGCTAAGATTGAGAGACCAGGGTCTACCTGTCGGCAGAGGCCTTTGATCTGAGTGTTTTAAAGATACCATATGCTTTGGATGCTAATATAGTCTGAAGAAAACATAGTATCTACTTTCTTTACCTATTTCATCTTTCCTGCAGCCTACTTTCTTGGCAGTAAGAGAAGAAATTATTACATTTATTATATATTCATATTAGTCATGAGAAAATAATCCCATGTATAACAGGTTAAAAGATGATAGAAAAAGATCAACAAAAACACAAAGGAAAAAAGGGACAAGGAGGCCTGGTTGACACTTCCACAGTGACACAAAATCAAATCAATCATTCTACATAACAAAGTTGAATCCTACTACTTCATCTCTAGAGCACAATTTTTCTTTCCACTCAAGAAAAAAACTGTCTGAGAGAGTGGCTCAGTTGGCAGCGTACTTCTCTAGCATGCACAAAGCCCTGGGTTCAATCTCTAGAACAGCATCAGCATTGATTGTTGGTGACTTATAGCTGTAACCTTAACATGTGACTCAGGAAAAGAGGATCAACAAGTTTAAGGTGTTTCAGCTACATGGTGAGTTCCAGGCCAGTCTGAGCTACCTCAAAAAAAAAAAAAAAAAACAAAAAAAACAAAAAAGGAAGTGGAGAGCTGGAGATATGGCTCAATGGTTAATAGCATTTGCTGCTCTTGCAGAGGACTTGGGTTTGGTTCCCAGCACCCACACGGTAGCTCATAACCACCTGTTAACTCTAGTTCCAGAGAACCCAACACCCTCTTCTAGTCTCCATGCACGTGATACCCATACTCATGCAGACACACATACACAATTGTTTTTGAAGTCTATAATACCACACAGACAAATAAAAACAAAATCATTTAGGTTCTGTGGCCTTCCAGAGGTGACACCCCTTATCTAACTGAGGCCATCTAGTGGTGTTCAATGTGGATCTCAATTAAGTAGACCCTAGAATAAATCCTACATTATTTGGATACCTATTCTCTACCTATAAAAGGTGACTATCTTAGCCTGGGTGGTAGTGGTGCACACCTTTTATTCCAGCACTCAGGAGGCAGAGGCAGGCAGATCTCTGTGAGTTCAATGTCAGCCTGATCTCCAGAGTGAGTTCTAGGGCAGCCAGGGGTGCACAGAGAAACCCTGTCTTGAAAAACAAAACAACAACAAAAAAAAAAAAAAGAAAGAAAGAAAGAAAAAAAAAGAAAACCAGGGTCTTTTGAAATTCTCAAGGAATTCTTTATGCCTCTTTAAAAAAGCAAACAAAAAATATCCCTAAAGAGATGAGGCACAGCTTATGAGACCTTAATTAATTAGTTGGCTGATTGATTAATTTTGAGACAGTCTCACTATGCAGCTCCGGCTGGCCTGGAACTCACTATGTAAATAGTGGCTGGCCTCAAACCCACAGAGAGTCATCTGCTTCTGCCTCTGCCTCTGGAGTACTGGTATTAAAGGTGTGTGCTACCATTACCAGCTGCCTGTGTTAAATTTAATGTCAAAATGGGGCACAGCTGATGGGTCCACAGCATTAGTAAGAAACTAGCATCTCTTTCTCCCCCATCTGGATGTAAGGCAACTACTTCAGAATTCCTATGGCCCAGACAGATGTGAGTGTGCCAAGTCCACTGTTAAACTGCCACCTTTTTAGCTTATTTATGTGCACAATTGTACGTCTATGTGTGGGTGCTCTCAGAGGAGAGAAGCAGGTAGAGGATTCCCTGGAGCTGGAGTTATAGGTGGTTGTGGGCTGTCGCCTGATGTGGACTCAGGTCCTCTGAGAGAACAGCAAGTACGCTTAACCCCTAGATCTTCTCTCTAGACCCTAAACTGTCCCCATTAAGTCAACAATAGTATCTCCAATCCCAGCATTTTGAAAAAGACTATAAACACACATCTAGGGTTGGACAGTCTTACGAAGGATGTTTTTCTCAAACAAAGCTGCTGAGGCCATTTCATTCAAGAAAATGATGCCATCCAAGATACATGTCTCCTGGAAGGCGTGTGGGTTTTCATTCATCGTCTGTTACTAAAATGTCTTCCACTGGCAGAATAATTTGCCACAAGCTCCTCTTTAAAATGGCACCTTCTTAGAATCTCAACATCCACTCACAAATGTGGCAGAGCTAGTTGCTTAGAACCATGTTGTAGTTAGACTTGGTTTTACAGGGTGTTCCTTGAATGAATGTACCCCTGGCGTCCTGGATGAAGACAGTTTTACTATGATGCAAAAATATCAGAATCAGGGGCTGGAGAGATGGCTCAGCAGTTGGGAGCATTGACTGCTCTTCCAGAGGATCTGGGTTCAATCCCCCAGCACCCACATGGCAGCTCACAACTGTAACTCCAGTTTCAGGGGATCTGACACCCTTACATGCAGCAGGCAAAACACTATATATCAGAATCACTATTCCTCTCAACAGTTTCTACTTCATGTGGTACAAAAGAGAAATTGAGAGCAATATAGTAAGACATAGGGATGCAGATGGCGAAGGCACCGACCTGGTCACGATCCCCTGCAAAGCAGCAGCTCTTCATAGTGCACGAGTTGAAGTAACCCTGATTGTCAAACTGGAACACTGGTAGGCGGGAGTGGATGTCATAGAGGACAGGAGGCAGGCGCCGCCGCAGGGCCAGGAGTTGGGTCCCATTGCTGTTGAATCGCACACTCATGGCACTTTGGAGAGATAAGTTGCCACCATAGCGCAAGAGAGAACTGGAAGGCAAAAAGTACAAGGATCAAATAAATCTGAGGCAGATAGGATAAAAGCCTGCAAAACACACTTAATTAGCTTCTGTCCAGGCAGGCCTGTAATAAGGGGCATTAAAATGCAAGAGCATCTCCTATTTGAATATAATAATTATGTTAAGAATGGCTCCTTGAAGCTGAGCAGTGGTGGCACATGCCTTAATCCTAGCACTCAGAGGCAGAGGCAAGCAGATCTCTGAGTTCAAGAGTCTGGTCTATAGAAGGAATTCCAGGACAGTCAGGGCTTCACAGAGAAAACCTGTCTCAACAACAAAACAAGGCCAAAAAACCAAATCAAAACAAAACAACAACAACAAAAAGGTTCCTTGAAAGAAAAATGAAAGAAATGAAAGAGGGGGAAGGGGAAGGGGAAGGGGAAGGGGAAGGGAAGGAACAGGCTCCTTGGTTACATTAAAATAAGTTACTTAAAATGTCACCCTCTCTTTCAACCTCCAAAGATAAATTGCGAATAATTTTACAAGAAAAGATTACTAAGGGCGAGATGGTTTAGTGGGTAATAAGGGTACTTGCAGCAAAGTCTTTGGACCTTGGGACCCACATGGTGGGAAAAGAACAGACACCTGAAAGTTATCCTTTGACTTCTACACATACACAAATAAATGTAAAAAAATTAATAGCAAAGGTATCAACATTATCTTGAAAAAAAGGAGACATTAAAATCATTAATTATTTGTTTAACCATGCCCCAAATAGACACTTGAAAGACCCTGGTGAAGGGAGTAGTGTCTACCCCCATTGTCCAATAATGGATTTTCTTTTTTTGGAGGGGGTCTAGGGTTGCTCAAGACAGGGTTTCTCTGTGTAGCCCTGGCTGTCCTAGAACTTGCTCTGTAGACCAGGCTGGCCTCAAACTCAGAGATCTGCCTTGCCTCTCCCTCCCGAATGCTGGGATTAACTAATAATGTATTTTTAAGCAATATATTTCTCTTTTGTATTAGAAACACAAGAATCATTACTCTTTTTCCTGGTAATTTTCAATGCTTACACAAGCATAAGCAGCATTTATTTCTATTTTTAATTTGTTAAAAGATGAACCAGTAAGATGCCTGACATGCAAGCTCAGTTCCAAGGACACATATGGTAGAGGGAGAACACACACACACACATACACACACACACACACACACACACACACACACACATACACACACACACACACACAAAACACATACCTAAAAAACTTAAAGGTTTTTTGGCAGGGTGGGGTGGGGGGTGGAGGTGGGAGCTGGAGAGCACTGCCTTCTCTTCCAGAGGACCAGGTTCAATTCTCAGCACCAACATGGCAGATCACAGCTATCTGTAGCTCCAGTTCTAGGAGATCTGACACCCTCATACAGACATTCATGCAGGCAAAACACAAATGCACAGGAAATAAAAAAAAAAACTTTCTTCTAAATAACTTCTTTTGATGACAAGGTCCTGATATGCCTGACTGATCCTCAGGTCTCCACCTCCTGAGTGCCGGTGTTACACGTGAGAGCCACCACAACAGGTTCGCATGTGGTGCTGAAGACTGAAACCATGGTTTCATGCATGGTAGGCAAACAATATCAAATGAACTACATATGCAGCCCAGATTTAGATTTTTTAAAATTTATGTATTGGTATATTTTACCTACAAATATGAATGTTACTATATGTGTACCTGGTACCATGGAAGTCATAAAAGGGCATCAGCCCCACTGAACTGGAGTTATAGATGGCTGTGAGCTACCAAGGGGGTGCTGGGAAGCTAACCTGAGTCCTCTGCAAAAGCAGACGGCTTACTGAGCCATCCAAGTGAAAGCTTTGGGGGGTAGGAGAGTGATGACAATGAAGATAACCTATGGGAAGAGTTGCTCTGAAAAAGTCATGACGGCTGCCAACCTACATGGTCATAAGAACAGCCAGCCAACACCAGCCACAGTCATGCCTACCTCACCCTCCCAGAGCAATCTTCTCACCAAGGAGAGGGAATGCTGTGGTATTCCAGCTGTATGTAGAGACAAGGCTGGAATAAAATAGCCTGCAATCCTCCTGGGTGGAATGGATGGAAGGGAGCAAAGACATAAAACCATCCCAGAACTCCAAGAACCACGGAGACACCTAGAATCCCTCAAGTCCCCAAGTAATAAACCCTGCAAAGAAATAACGATCTTATAATGCCCTGAGTACAAGCCACACTCACACATTCACACAGAGAAAGAAAGACTGGGCTGTTGGAGCCCAGGCATTTCCTTTATGGGGTGCCCTGGCCACCACAGGCATGTGCTGTTATCTAAACATGAGTTTAAAAACAATGAGAGGCTTTCAGGCTACAGTCAGCATGGAGCTTGCAAATAGACCAGCATCTGTGGAGCTGAGGGTGGGTGGGGGTGAAACAAGACTCAACAGAAACAAGCTTGGTCAGCCACACCCACACAGCAGAGGGTTTGCTTTAGCTCAGGTCCCCCGACAGAAGCTGGGGCCTCTACCAACCCCTTTCCATCAGTTAACAGCAATTTTCTCTGTCCATTCCAGTCAGGCCTAAAGAGGAGCCTGCCCAGCACCAGCCTGTGGGTCTATTCTATTCCCACCCAAGCTTCTTGACCTGCTACATGTAATTTGGTCACAGTGCAGGTGTCTGTGGCTCTGGAGATTTTTCTCCTCCTGCACTTCTGGGTAGGAACATTCATCTCACACGAAGAGGACGTCTAAATGTCTGCTGTAGTTAGGGGGTGCTTCATAGAGAACAAAATGTGAATCCTTCCAGAAGGATGGAATGATACCTTGACTCCAGAAAGGGAATCTCATGAATAGCTAGTTCTCAGCAGGAATGGAGAATGTGGCTGGCCACTCTCAGTGAGAATAAGGAATGGCTTATTTTGCCAGGAGAAATGGCTTAAAAGCAGTTTATCATCAGTCAGGAGACAGTACTGTTCAAGATTCTATAGCTCAGTGCTAGAGTGGTTAAGAGCATGTACTGCTCTTCCAGAGGACCTGGGTTTGATTCCCACACAGGTTGGGGGGCTCACTTCTGTAACTTCTGCTACAGAGGACCTAATGCCCTCTGCTGGTCTCCAGAGTATAAACACACACACACACACACACACACACACACACACACACACACAGAGAGACAGACAGACAGACAGACAGACAGACAGAGACAGAGTGTGTCATCCAGAGACCAGGCATAATGGCATACACCTATAATCACAACATTCAGGAGATACGAGTTGAAGGTTAACATGAACTACACACTAAGACCCCATTAGAGGCTAGAGGATATCTACAACTTTAATTTTTATTGAAAAAAATTGTTATTGAAACAGAATTTCTCTACATAGTCCTGACTGTTCTGGAACTCACTATGTAGTTCTGGCTGGCCTCAAACTCATAGAGATCTGCCTGCCTCTGCCTCTACAGTGCTAGGATTAAAGGTGATCTAGAAGTTTTTAAAATGTAGGTTTTCATAAGACCCACCTATACCACTCTTGGGCACAATAACTGGGAAATGGAATCAGTCTTGATGTTCATCAACTGTTGAGTGGATAATAAAAATGTGGGACCTACACACTATGGAATTTTATTCAGTTGTAAAGGAAACTGAAATTATGAAATTTGGAGGAAAATGTTATTCTGAGTGTGGTAACCCAGGCCCCCATATGTTCTCTATCATATACATCCTACCTTTGAACTTTTAGACGATTGTTTAACTTGGATTTTCTGTAGAGGCCAGTAAGCTAAAAGGGCTCATGATTAGGGGCAGGAGGGACTTAAGGCAGCAGAGTGGGGTTGGGTAGCTGTGGTAACAGTAGTAGAACATACATGATATGAGATGAGTACTGGGGGAGGATTCCAGGGGTACAAAGACTTAAGTGGGGGGTGGAGAGGAGGTGGTGGTGAGGGGGAAAGTTAACTAAAACCAGGGGCATTTTAAAGAGGTATATGGAGGGCTAGAGAGGTGTTACAAGCAGGTAAGGTACTTGCCACCAAGCCTGACAACTCCAGATCCATCGCCAGACCCACTTGGTAGAAGGCGGGAATCAACACCCAACAGTTGTCCTCTGATACCACATCTGCACTGTGGCATGTGTGTGCTCACACACATGTACACAAACAAATGTAATAATTTCTGAGTTTTTGTTTCTTTCTTTGTTTGTTTTTCAAGACAGGGTTTCTCTGTGTAGCTTTGGAGCCTGCCCTGGCACTCACTCTATAGACCAGGCTGGCCTCAAACTCATAGAGATCCACTTGCCTCTGCCTCCAAAGTGCTGGGATTAAAGGCATGTGCTACCACCATTCCTGATAAAATTTTTAAATTTAGAAAATTAGCTTGTATTAAAGGGAAAAAAAAGTTTGAACTCAGGTCCCCTGCATACAGATATAATGTTTGCTTCTAGATTATTAAATCAAAATCCCTCCATTGGATACTTCTTACTTCCCTATGAGTTATCTATCCATCAGGGACGCTTCAAAAGAATACACACTATCATCATTGCTCTTGGCTGCCCACCAGAACGAGATGTAAGGTCCTGTTGCTGAAGACACTACACTTGGTTACAGGACAGAGAAACCAAGCTTGAATGGAGGGGACGTTCCCTCACTACTGGCTAGCTTTCACAGTGCTGAAAGATGCTATTCAGGCTACTGGGGCAGAAAAACCATCCAAGTACCCAGCAGGGGACACTGCATTTTAAGCTACAATACCATCCTCCTGGGCAAGATGTGCCCACTGCGCAATAGTGGCCTGTTATGGGAGTGACCAGCCACACTCCTATTGAATTTGAGGCCTGCATTCACAGGACAGAACCCACCCCTGGTACTGTATGCAAACTTGGTCAAAGGGTCATGGCTGGGAAGGCCATAGGCTCCAGGGAGGAACACAATATTGTTTGCTTGCTAAATGGATATGTTGCCAAATGATCTGTTAAGTATTTATGATTATTATATTTTCTCTCTTCTGTGTGTATACATGCATATGG